TGTTATGTTATTGTGAACTGTATAATTGATCATTTGGAATAAATATAACCTGTCACTTCACATTGTATACACTTATCAAAGCTTTTATGTTTCTGTCTTTTCTGAATGCATTTTCTGATGATCTTTGGCTATAAGGATTTTTTCATATCAAGAATTAGATGTTATGTCGAACATGGCAAGATACATTTAATTGAATAGATGCTTCAGTTTAATTATTCATCCAATTCCATTGTAAAGTAAAATGTATGTTTCTACACAGATTTGTCGCGTACTTTAACTAGAGTTCAAATAATATTGAATATTGATCTGAAATCAATATTATTTCATCAGCTACCATACGATCTCTTTTTTAATATAAAGACAGGTATTGTGAAATAAACTGTATTTTCTCTCACTATTTTTGGTGGTACAAGGCAGATATTAATCATTCTGTATATACTATTATAACAAATAATCAAATTATATTCAAGAATGATATTGGACCACAAATAAATGTTTCTTTACTCTAATGGATTTAATCTGCTTTTGATTTATGTAAAAACTGTAATGTTAACCAAGGTGAAATTTATTTAGAATTAAATTTAGTTTTTGTTGATTATTCCGCCACGAACAAGAATAGAGCGTTTGATGTTTCTGAAAAAGGTCCACGTTTTCAATGACCACAGGCAATTTGTTGAAAATATAGTAGATATTCTAGGATTTACGAGTTCTAACAGTTGCATTAAGATTAATGACCTCTAACCTCTTTTCAACGTAAGGATGAAATTTAATTAAAATTTTTATCTAAGATTAATGATATATTATACAACAAACTCGTGAAATCGCGTGTCAGTATCGAACACCAGATTAAAACGTTCGTATCCCTTGACGAATTATGTGCCGAGACTATAATCTAATGTGACATGCCTTAAAACCGTTTTAATAGACCACCAAACTGATGGAGTTTAGATATAAAAAAAAAATGCCTATTAAAAGCAAAATTGAAGAAAGTCTCGTGACATGCGTGCATTTCTTCGTCAAGTCTTACAAAGAAAATCTCAAATAGTAAAGATGTTATTGAAAGGAAAGAAATAACAAGATCGAAGGTTGCTACACTTTTACTGGAATAATGAGAGGCCCATTAAAAACATCTACTTGAAAAGACTTGAAGTAAAATTGACATGTCGTTACAGAAAGTTTTAAGCTAGCAAAACACCGGTTGGTCTCAAATTGTTTCATATAAAACATTAAAACTTACTTCCATACACGAATAGAAGTAGTAGGATGACGGAAGTCCAATTTTAACATCTCCGATTTCTCTCCACAAATAGAGAAAATTGCTGTATTACACTGACACAACTGTCATATATCACAAATAATTCTCCATCAGTTTCATATTGGCTCATCTATTCTATTAATAAAGTCTTATTATTTAAACGCGCCAAGTTTCTAACGGTATAAAGAACAGTGTAGCTATCGCAAGTTATAAAATATACTATCACCATCGCTTAAGGAGAGATGACAAGATGTACCTTAGCACTTTGATATGGTATGGAACGATTCGTCAATTCTTTGAAGAAAATGTTAAGGCAGTATGTTACGAAGAGATAGTGGTACCAATGCCTAAACAGAATGTTCATTTTTAACAAAAACCAACTGGATTTAGAATGCAGACAGTGTTTCAATAATATTGATTAGTCACGTGATTTCTTTTAAACATTCAACAGAAATAAACATCCTCGGGGTAAGAATTGGACTGTTTCGCTTCTCAAGGTTGACTATTGGTAAAATCAATCGAAATAATCAAAAGTGGTTTACAAGTCTAGATACTATACCTAGTGGTGATCTTATGTACCAATCGCCAGAAGTGTAAGACTGGAACAACGTTCCATAAATCTCTTTTTCGAGTTCACCTCAAAGTGTTGTGCATGAGCACCAAGAATGGCCTTCAATAAGTTACAGAATGCAATTTATCCTGGAAATTGTGTATATTTTTTCAATTCCAAGGGTATTCGGTTCAATCAAGAGTGACTAAGGTGTCTAAATTACATAAATTGACCATTTTATTTGTATTGACCTAGGTTGAATGAAATATAATTTAACATTGTTTGTATCGGAGGATGGTTGGTTTAGAAGGCCTGCTTGTTCATCTGTAACATAAGTAGGAACAGGGGAATTAAATTTAGCTATGGGCTAATGGGCCTCGCAAGTACTGGTTTGCAGAAATCCTGCCAGTGCTTTGTATGTGATTTATGCAGCTGAAGAAGCCATGAACATTTCTTTCACTACTAGTCGTACTAGATCTAGGTTTCTACACAATATACTTTTATGAAATACTTGATACTTATACTTGCCTGGGCGCAAAGATATATGTAATTGACATATGACATGGTGTAATATCTTTTTCCAATCACACTTATAATTAGTTATCTATAATTGTTAAACAAACTATGGTGTGTATTATTCTATAACTTTACAAGTCAAGTACAAGAGATCTTCAAGGTACACGATATTTACCAATAATGACCTTTTAAAAGAAAACATTCGTAACAATACTTGTAATATATGAGTGTTAATATATGTTATTGATAATATACTTATATTTTACTAGATATCAATATCTATATTTATATTCTTATTAAGTTTTCATGTTAATCTAATGATTGACATCTTCACAATAAGTATGATGATGGAGTAGAATCGAATCGAAGTCAGAAATCAATCTTGCTTTCTAATATTTTACGCCATGTTAAAGAAAATGATCTTATAGCACCACGTTGATCGAAAATAAATAGGAATCTACTAATGAAACAAAAGAAGTTTAACCAAGCAATCATCATTAAAGGAACTTCAGTAATTTAAAATTATATGATCAATCATTTAGTTGACCTCATTAATCTTATACCAATATCTATAGATAGATTGATCTTATAGCATTTCCACACTGAAAATGACGTGGAAATATCTTCCATTAGTTAAAGTTAACGGTAATGAAATGAAAGCATTAATGTGGAAAATTAATATTTCACGTTACCATCATCCAAACTTTCTTTTTCGGTACAGTCCGCACTAACATCTACACACACTTCATTCGATTCTTTGTTGCATATGGTAAAGAAGAAGGATAGGTCATCTTTAACTTATTCAAAGCACTTCTATTTGATTTTCATTGCTATTTCTTTAAAACGTAAAATAAGGATGTCGTAGCAACAAGATTTCATTCAATGCCAAGTATCGGAGAAGAAGAACTCGCTTACTCTTTTGCAACATCTGATACCACAGATGATAAGCTTATTATGCTCAATTTGTAATGTTTCAGGAATTGATTCCATTCTCTTGACCTTTGTCGCTAACTTCAATTTACAGCTTGGATACTTTATTATTTCTCATGTTAAGATTACCTTATAAGTGCTCGGAATAACATTTGCCATGAAGTTACATCAGTACTATTTCCAATACATTCGTTAAAGTAGTAATTTGTAAACTTACACGAGATTCATAGTTACCTATACGCATCTCAATATTGTCTTCGGTCATTTAAGTGAAGCAGATGAACGTAATTTAAACGCATGCGAGGAGAGAAATGCATCAAACGACCAAAATATGACATAAATTTATTCGCACATCGAAGTTTCACTAAAAAGTCAAGAATTAATTCTACCTTAGCTGATGACTTGTGTGTGTGTGTACGTCAATGAAACCAAAACAGACAATTTAAACTACTACCCTGTTTCTAATTATACTAACAGTCGGGAATAGTGGACGAAATAAAACAATTACACAAAATTGATTGAAGCGGTATAAATCGAACTATGTCCATATAGTTGAGGAAATTAATGATGACAGCACTTGATGTGAGAGATTTAGTCGATTATCCATGTAACCATGATCATTTAATAGGTAATTTGTCAGGACTAGGCAGTGGGAAATAAATGATGGTTGGTCAGTATTTAATAAAAGGTCAATATAATAATAGTCCACGTGGGTCAATCAATATCTCTTGTATCTATTATATCAAATCTTTAATCAGATTTAATGATATCCTGAAATTCATCCACATGAAAACGTTATAACGGATAATTTGATCTTTGGGTCTGTAGAAAAGAAAAGACAAATTAACGCAATTAGTTACGTGGAGTCTTAGAAAATGAAGCTGATTTGGCATGCTCAGTACCTGAGCGGCGTCAGGTGTTGTTTTTGTCCAATAGCACAATCGCACTCTTGGTGTGAAAAACAAATGACATAGGTCGGTTGGTAGATGATAAGTTAACGTCCGCTTCAAACAGATGCTGATATCGCAGACTAACAGATTACAAACAATGATAAAGCTATATAGGCCAACATTGTAAATGTAATTGATTACACAATAGCATCAGATATTTTAGAAGTGAAATACTATATGAATTTAATCTTAAATAAACCTAAAGAGGATAGTTCTATTTGTATAACTATCTTATATTATCTCAATCTACTTTACTTGAATAATACATAAAAATTATCAATGTTACGTAGGCCTTGGGGATGGGCAGAAACAAACCGTATTCTTAATGCTTGTGATTACTGGAATGTAAAGGACTACGCACGCTTTGCATTGAATCGATTGTAAAAACCTGTTTAAACAGAAACTATTTGCAGAATCTCAAAACAAACAATTTAATAATGAAAATTGTTTGATAAAATCTTCTTTACTACACTCGTAAATAATCCATTCAATAACTGTGGTAACTTATTGAAATGTTTTATGTACTGGCACACTTAACTGTAATAATTGTCAAAGTCTTAGACCTGGTATCACGTATATTGCCCCAGATTCCATATACACCGTGTTCGAATGTTGTTCAGTTTCTTTGTATAACTACATCTAAAACTATATATAACTCTAAGAGTTTAAGACAGAATATTTGAACCATTATCAACAAAATCCATGAACTATCAAGTGCCAAAACGCACATTGACTAACAATTGTTGTCAACAACAAAAAAACCCTTTCCTGTCTATGATTAACATTAACTATCAACTATCACCAATACTCATTGTCCATCATCTTTCACCAATACACATTGTCTATCATCTTTCACCAATACACATTGTCTATCAACTATCACCAATACTCATTGTCCATCATCTTTCACCAATACACATTGTCTATCATCTTTCACCAATACACATTGTCTATCATCTTTCACCAATACACATTGTCTATCAACTATCACCAATACTCATTGTCCATCATCTTTCACCAATACACATTGTCTATCAACTATCACCAATACACATTGGCTATCATCTTTCACCAATACACATTGTCTATCAACTATCACCAATACTCATTGTCCATCATCTTTCACCAATACACATTGTCTATCATCTTTCACCAATACACATTGTCTATCATCTTTCACCAATACACATTGTCTATCAACTATCACCAATACTCATTGTCCATCATCTTTCACCAATACACATTGTCTATCAACTATCACCAATACACATTGGCTATCATCTTTCACCAATACACATTGTCTATCAACTATCACCAATACTCATTGTCCATCATCTTTCACCAATACACATTGTCTATCAACTATCACCAATACACATTGGCTATCATCTTTCACCAATACACATTGTCTATCATCTTTCACCAATACACATTGTCTATCATCTTTCACCAATACACATTGTCTATCATCTTTCACTAATACACATTGGCTATCATCTTTCACCAATACACATTGTCTATCAACTATCACCAATACTCATTGTCCATCATCTTTCACCAATACACATTGTCTATCATCTTTCACCAATACTCATTGTCTATCATCTTTCACCAATACACATTGTCTATCAACTATCACCAATACACATTGTCTATCAACTATCACCAATACATATCGACTATTAACTATTACCAATACTCATTGTCCATTATCTTTCACCAATACACATTGTCTATCATCTTTCACCAATACATATTGACTATCAACTATCACCATTACATATTGACTATCAACTATCACTATCAACTATCACCATTACATATTGACTATCAACTATCACCATTACATATTGACTATCAACTCTCACCATTACATATTGACTATTAACTATTACCAATACATATTGACTATCAACTATCACCATTACATATTGACTATCATCTATCACCATTACATATTGACTATCATCTATCACCAATACATATTGACTATCAACTATCAACATTACATATTGACTACCAACTATCACCATTACATATTGACTATCAACTATCACCATTACATATGGACTATGAACTATCACCAATACATATTGACTATCAACTATCACCATTACATATTGACTATCATCTATCACCATTACATATTGACTATCAACTATCACCATTACATATTGACTATTAACTAGTACCAATACATATTGACTATCAACTATCACCATTACATATTGATTATCAACTATCAGCATTACATATTGACTACCATCTATCACCAATACATATTGACTATCAACTATCACCATTACATATTGATTATCAACTACCACCATTACATACTGACTATCATCTATCACCAATACATATTGACTATCAACTATCACCAATACATATTGACTATCAACTATCACCATTACATATTGACTATGAACTATCACCAATACATATTGACTATCAACTATCACCATTACATATTGACTATGAACTATCACCAATACATATTGACTATGAACTATCACCAATACACATTGTCTGTCATCTATCACCAATACATATTGTCTATCAACTATCACCATTACATATTGACTATGAACTATCACCAATACATATTGACTATGAACTATCACCATTACATATTGACTATCAACTATCACCATTACATATTGACTATGAACTATCACCAATACATATTGACTATGAACTATCACCATTACATATTGACTATCAACTATCACCATTACATATTGACTATGAACTATCACCAATACATATTGACTATCAACTATCACCATTACATATTGACTATGAACTATCACCAATACATATTGACTATCAACTATTACCAATACATATTGACTATGAACTATCACCAATACATATTGACTATGAACTATCACCAATACACATTGTCTGTCATCTATCACCAATACATATTGTCTATCAACTATCACCATTACATATTGACTATGAACTATCACCAATACATATTGACTATGAACTATCACCAATACACATTGTCTGTCATCTATCACCAATACATATTGTCTATCAACTATCACCATTACATATTGACTATGAACTATCACCAATACATATTGACTATGAACTATCACCAATACACATTGTCTGTCATCTATCACCAATACATATTGTCTATCAACTATCACCATTACATATTGACTATCAACTATCACCATTACATATTGACTATGAACTATCACCAATACATATTGACTATGAACTATTACCAATACATATTGACCATCAACTATCAATATACATTGACTATCATCTATCAATACACATTGTCTACCATCTATCACCAATACTCATAACGAAAGACACTGACTATCATCAATACACGCATTGACTATCAACTATCAACAAAAGACATTCACTTTAAACACACATTGGCTATCTAATATCAACACTACACATTGACTATCAACTATCAACACTACACACCTTGACTACCAACTTTCAACAAAACACATTGACTATTAACTATTAATAATACACATGACTATCAACAAAACACATTGACTATCAACACACAATAACTATCAACAAAACACATTGACTTTCAACAAAAGACATCCACCTTCAACTATCAAACACATTGACTAATATTTATTGACAACAATGAATAATGACCGACACCTATGAACCATTCATAGTGTTCCTTGAAAAGACTTCTTATTAATACTTATTTATCATATACCTGTGTTTAAATCTAGTAGCAGTATCAGCTATTTGTTACCGCCAATAACATAAACAAATATCAACAATTTACCTCGTCTTTTCCTTTATTATCAACATATTAACATACATCGAGATTATCTTGATTACGAGCCATTTCTAAACAGCATCTTTTAGCAGTTATCAGCGATAGACTGCCAAACAAATACACTTAGAAAATAGCTACAATAACATTTAACTAACTGAAAATTATGAATAGGAAAGTGCCACGAAGTCATGCTGTTACAATGAACTGAATAGAGAGTCTAGTTCTAAATCCAGATCCAACTTTAATAATCATCATTTCTAAAAGACGAGATAAAAGCAGGGTATTAAACCTATATATAAAAAGAGAAAGACATGGACTATGACATTTAATAGACACTCATATCTAGTAACTGTCGGATGAAGGTTGAGAGATTAGTCTGAACCAGAGAAGATAAAAGTCACAGAAAATTCACTTGAATGTCCGCTTTGTTTCTTACTTTTTTTACTTGAAATTGACCAAACCTGTACTTCGAGTGAAAATACACGATTCTATTTGAGGCTGCATGAGCTTTTCATTTTTAAAATAGAAATTTATTTTGGTCCATAATATTTCATTGTTTCTTGAATGCGACGGAAACGAGGCAGTTGGGTTTCGTTAGGTCCTAATTATTTTAATATGATATTAACAATAGTTTGCCGTCTCCTAATCCGGGATAACGACGTAATTTAAGCCGAGATTAACCAACAAGACAAATGTAGAAATAATGAGAAGGTTCAATTAATAGAACCATATTTCGTGCTATAATAATTATTATAAGCAGATGAAACAACATCGTGTATTGACCAACTGTGACAAGATGGCGGTTGCTCTTCTTTGGCTACGACAGCTGTTTCGCCAAATTCTCAAAGCGCAAATCGAGATTTTGCAGTTCATCATTTCAATTCATTTAGAATTGATCAGCGTGGCCTTTATATCCCCTTTATATAACCTTACCAATTGAATAGAATAATACAGTAGAGAAAGGAAGTAGGCAAATTGTATCGTGTTAACAACATAAAAACGAAGTCGACCAAACGTAAAATTTAGGTCGATCTCGATCAATTGCCAGTCTATCCAATGTCACTCCCGATTTCCGTTACAGTTAAGGACTTTTATCAAACTTTCATTTCGCTTCATTTATTCCGACCGACAGCATTCCAAACTTAAATTCAATTGATTCTTTTTAATTAGAAAGTATGTAACTACTGCATTCGCTTCAATTATAGTTTTGACAGGTTAAGTGAATATGGTGTTAATAAAACCTTACCATTAATTTTACCTTTGGCTATCTACAAATAAACTTTTATGGTTCCGAAACATTTTCCAGTTTAGGTGTACCCAAAATGTAGCTTAAAAAACTAACAGGGACTGTTAACTGTATGTAGTGAAACAGAGGCTGCTAAGTTAACTGTATGTAGTGAAACAGAGACTGCTAATTTAACTGTATGTAATGAAACAGAGACTGTTAAGTTAACTGTATGTAATGAAACAGAGACTGTTAAGTTAACTATGTTGTGAAACAGAGACTGTCAACTGAGCGTTGTGAATCACAGTCTGTTAAATGTAAGTCTGTTAAGATGACTGTTTAAAATATAACATGTTTGCTACATATCATTCAAAATATTTAGAATACAGTCATGTATAATAGTTTTTGCTATCAAACATGAACTATTTATAATAAAACATGCTATTTGATAACTTCAATTCTTTTCAAAGTAATGAGTATGGTGTCAAATAGTGAGATTCTAATGCGGATACTCAACACATTAGATTCGACCATCCACATCAAATGATAATATAACTCGTTCACTGAAAGGAAAGAAAAAGATGAGCTGTTTATCAAAACGATTAGTGGATCTCTATCATACTATTTTAATTTCCTCCTTGCGGATCTCAGCTAATCACAGGGGCTATTTTCTATGTCAGTTATGAGAACGTTAGTAATGGGTGTACGATAGACTTGCAAATGTGTTTCCTGCTCAGGTTTGGCTTAGGCAAGTCCATTGTGAACAATCTGCCATTTATAGACTATGCCATTCGAAATGAATCAATAGACAATTTGTATGAAAGTTTGATTGATATTAATCTTCATAACATATTATTATGATGGGCCATTTTGTGACATCTTCCAAATGACAGCACATTAATCTAGTACAATAGCATGATATAGCACACCCGCTTAGGCTTAAAATATGGACCATAATTATAATATATGCCTTCTAAATAGAAAGATCAATTAGTACACCGATATTGTGAATGGTGTATGGATTCTCTGTTAGTACTGAAGTGAATTTCCCTCACACATTTTACATGTAACCTCCATAATCAGCATGTCTTGGATCTTGAGTTGTTTTTTGAGAATTGCGTTGGTCTGTTGGTTTTCATTATTGTTTCAGATTGCGGCCACTTTTCATTTCATATTATCTGACCAAGCTATCATCAGCTAACATAAAAAACCACAGTCTCAAGTCCTAGACTAGTTTGTGTACTTACTAATTTTAATCTTATGTCTAAGTACCGAATCCCCTGTAGCTTGACTGTGGACATGTGCAATTATAATAAAATTCTTTATTTATTGAGAATTATGCCAGTGGTTCAGAAGAGTAGAAAACTATACAGCGAGACACCAGTAATTGGCGAACGGAAGTTAACATCGGTTAATTCGCCTCAGTAGAAGCAATTAATTGGTGGAAAAGATGATGAAAGTTTGTGGGGGAATATTGTTTAATTGGATTGACTAACCAGCGGGCTTAAGGTTGTTAAGATGAATTAAAGCGTATTGACCTCGCTGGATTAACTTCAACCTTTTGCCTTTTAATTGGTGTCTAGACGAATAATTTCAAGTTTATGAAGAACATGTCGATAAGACACGAAACATGTTGTCAAGTATGGAGTGGTTTGTTTCACCACCCTGTCAAATTAAATCATAACTTAGTAAATTATCGGTCACTTAAACCTATATCAGATTTACAATTAGCTTTTTCTACCATCTACACTTTCTACTGGATTATCACTAAATCCTACCAATGTTGTATGCATTGTTGGGTCTTAATTTCTGCAAACTAATAGCAAGGTAGAAAACACGATATATCCTGTATGGGTATTTATTTTTTAATGGAAAATGTGCTAAACCTGAATACTCTTTAAATAAGCGTAAAGATCACATGTAATACGATACGTCTGAGTTGACATTTTTAATCAGATTTCATCTTCAGTTGATCTAAATTCGACACTTCAATTGAAGAATCAAAATCATCGGGATGTTCTCTATTACCTTTAGACTCATGTCCTCAAACTATCTCTTCAAATATCTCTTGAAACTATCTCTTGGTACAGCATCATCAATTTTAGGCAAAATACAGAACCACAAAGTTCAATAAAAGCATTACATTGGTCTAAACCAAACACAAGGAAATAATATAGATTTAAGCTTCTTATGTCCCTTTTATGGTGTTACTTGTATCCCTTGGTTCAAAACTAAGGTATACATAGTATCAAAGGTTATAGAACACTTAGGAACAACATTCAAATCCGCCTCGCCCATTTATGCAACTATTGTTGAATTTGCTATTCTATTATTCTATGATTTACACTGATGAAAACAGTGATCAATATTTTAGTGACTCATTGATAGTTTAATTAATTTAGTTAATAAACCCGATTACCATCGCTTGAATCCCAACGTCCAGTGATATAGAATTAATATATTACAAATATTAATCAATAATTTTGGAATAAACCAAATTTTCATTGCTATTAGGTAATCCAAGCATTCAATTTATATTTCCAGGACTAAATCATAATGGATTAAATATGTTGGCCTGTTGCTAGGATTACTATCTATGGAAGGATATGTGTTAATGAAATACAGTGTTTTAGCTTGCAGGTAAGATCTTTCTTTTGAGTGTACATGCATACAGGATTGTTGTGAAAATCCCGAAACATAACCAACATTCCTACAACTTTCATTATTCTAAAAGATTACAATACATTAAATATAACAAACTTCTCGTTCTTTGCAATTTCTGACATTTTCACGCAAAAAATAAGAATTATAATTGCATTTATCGAAGAAAACGTCAGTTTTTAAGCTTTTCAATTGACAGAAGGATGAAATAAAATGTTATTTGATAACAGTAGTGGAAATATATTGTGATATTTCTATGATTATGACAATTGTCATGATATGAAGTGATAAGATATAAAATACAGACATTAGATCTAATCCTGGTGGAGGTTGAAACT